AAAGGGGAATGGGGCCAGAGGTGATAGTCAAGGAGGACTTTAGCTTCCTCTGCCATGTTTATTTCTTTTAAAAAAGAAAAGTCTAGAAGGAAAAAAGTCCCCAAAAATAATGATGATAATGAATACATAAAATAAAACCCCCATCACCCACTGCCGTTGAGTTGATTCCAACTCGTAGTGACCTTATAGGAGAGAACAGAACTGCCCCATAGGGTTTCCAAGGAGCAGCTGGTGGATTCGAACTGCTGACCTTTTTGGTTAGCAATGAAGTTCTTAACCACTGCACCACCAGGGCTCCAAATAAAACCCAGAAGTAATTTTCCCCTGTTCTGGCCTGGTTCCATGAACAGTGACCAGGAGGGTGGCCCCCTCCCTCCCTCAGAGGCTTGGACCTTTCACCTGTTGGTAAAAGGGGTACTCTTCTGCACAGTCATAGTCTGGCTTAAGTCTTTAAGGTACCCTTGATGTACGATTCTGTTCAAAACTGTGCCTTAGACTGAAAATTCTTGGACGGTAGAGCCGATATTGGAGTCCCTGACTGGTGCAAACCATTAAGCATTTAACTGCTAGCCAAAAGGTTATTGGTTCGAACCCACCCAGAGGCGCCTTGGAAGACAGGTCTGACAGGGACCTGCTTCTGAAAAGTCACAGCCTTGAAAACCCTATGGAGCAGTTCTAGTCTGCACACGTGGGATTGCCATGAGTCGGAATCGACTCCACAGCAACTAACAACAACAGAGCCCGTGTTTAATTCGTTCTGCTATTTGGTGGACCACCATCTGTAATCTAGTCCCGAACACTGTTACCTCTGTGAGGTCATAAAAGATAAGGCAAGACTGAGAAGACTAAGGAGACATGATAACTAAACATAGTGTGGGATCCTAGACTAGAAAAAAGATACTGGAGAGACAACAGGTGAAATTGGAATATGTAGAATAGCGAGTAGTATGATGTCAGTGTCAATTTTCTGGTCCTTAAGTCTTAAACAGTTATAAAAGATGATAACATTTCAAAGACTTCATCTCCTGAACTAGTATCAATCCTGGTTTTTTATATAAATGATCAAATCTTGGAAAGAAAGTTACCTCATGATTTTCATGTCCTGCTTCATCATTTCAAAACATTAAAAAAAGAGAGGCAGGGATGAAACAATAATGAATGGTCTTTGAAATGCTCAAGCAGATCTTCGAGAATTTAACCCACTTAAAATGGATTTAAGCTGACCACCGGCTCTGTCTGCTTCCTCCAAATACTCCTGTATGTCTTGGCACAAAGTGAACTGTCTTTATCTATGAATTCTTTAACTGCCTTTTGTTGAAAGCTAAATTCTACAGTTACCAAGCATTGAAAAGGTCAAAAGTTTAGTGTGGATAGAGGGGAGGAAGAGCATAAACCAGTCATCATCTGACTCATGGCAATCCCGCCCCATGTGTGTCAGAGTAGAACTGTGCTCCATAGGGTTTTCCATGGCTGATCTTTTGGAAGTAGATCACCAGGTCTTTCTTCCAAGGCACCTCTGGGTGGACTCGAACCTCAATCTTTCAGTTAGCAGATGAGCATGTTAACCGTTCGCACAACCCAGGGACTCCAGGGACAGCATAGGGTCTGGTTAAACCTCAGCTTAGATCAGGGGTCACCAAACTACAACCTGAGGGCCAAATCCAGCTGCTGCCTATCTTTGTATGGCCCTCAAGGTGAGAGTGTTTCTACATTTTTAAATGGTTGAAAAAACAATAAAAAGAAAATATTTGTGACATGAGAAACTGTATGAAATTGAAATTTCAGTGTCCATAAATAAACTTTTATTGGAACATAGCCTTGCTCATTTATTTACACATCATCAATGGCTACCTTTGAGCTGCAACGGCAGAGCTGAGCAGTTCTGACAGAGACCATATGGCTCATTCATTTATGTATCGTCGATGGCTAACTGTGAGATACAATGGCAGAGCTGAGCAGTTCTGACAGAGACCACATGGCCTGCAAAGCTGAAAATGTTTACTAGTTGATCTTTTACAGAAGAAGTTTGCCAGCCACTGACTCAGATAACCAACCCTCGAATAAATGAGTGTGGACAGGATTAAGATTTCTCTGGATAGAAAGCAATGTTTCTTGAGTTCTAGG